TGATATACCCTATATTTTGCCACTTTTACCATCTATTTTACTATAGTTTTTACATATATTAATAAAGTTTTTCGACCAAAAGAGGTATTTTTCTCGTATTTGTAGATTTTAAGGTCTTAACAGGGTTTATCATCAAAAGGATGTAAAATGGAGCAAAAAGAGTGTTATGTATGAGGCAGCTACTCATTCAAGTCAAAGGAACCAAGCCAAGTCGTTTTATCTTGAAGATAATGCATATTCTCAAACTGGACAGAACGTATACGCCAAAAGTTCGCTGATAAACGGAGAATCAAATCAACTTGAAATTGAAAAAAAACATGTTACGGAGATAGCCCTTTGAGTTAGATTTCCAATGAATTTGAAATCACATCATTTGGAGCTGTACTTTAGAAGATACACCGGAAACACTGAGGACATGTCAAACTGCATTCGAAGTGAAGTGAGTGCACAAGGAAGCCAAGCACCGGGCCGCCCATGGCACGATGATCCAGACCTTTACCAACCTTCTAGAAGCGCCATAGAAGCCTCAAATACGGTCACGCAACCCGACCGGTATTGTGACCGGTATTGCCTCAGTTTCGACCAAAAAAACGTTTTTGCCCGAAGAAGACTTAGCCGACTTAAGCCTCCTTAAACCCCTATATATACTTGTTTTTAGCCTCTCTAGGAACTTAAGCAGCCGGCCATAATAGCCTAAATCAATACCTAAACATGTATTTCGTTTTTCTCTTGTTCTTAATGCATATTTGATTCTAAAAGCCTTTAAGGATAGATTGACTTTGTCCTATTGCGAAGAGATGAGATCTAACTCCTTACGCTTTGTAGATCAACGATTTATCTTTATGTTTATGTGCTTTACTCTTGCTGTTATGTGTTGCAAAACATGTTAGAGTACTAGCTTTGATTTGATTTCTATGCACTTTCTTAATTCTATGTCTTTACATACTTAATCGTTTAGAGTTTTATACTAGAATTGATTCTTCATCTTTATTTATACTCAAAGCACGAACTGGCTTAGCTACCCAGGGGTTGATCTTAGGTTGATATACTCTCCAAAAGCTTGTTATATCTCCGGACCTAGTATTCGATGAGTTAGACATCTTAACAATTTGATAGGTTAGTTAAGGAGTCTAGTGAACAATCAATCTTGATCATAAAGCATATTTTCACCTTGTAATAACTTGCGATAGTTGAGTCTATTAAGGTAGAAAACGTAGAAGGTTAGTTACGTCACGACAGTGGGATGACCTTACATTAATGATATGAGTTCTAGAACAACTAGTATTAAAATCCTAAATCGATTTCTTATGTTTGCATATGTTTTGTGAATTGCTTGATTTCTCATCTTAATTGATCTATCTATCCTTTTATTTTATTGATTTCTTATTTGCTTCCATAAAAACCCCAAAAACCAAATAATATAATTACTTAGCTTAATCCGAATCATATAAGTTTGTATTGCATTCATCACTTAGTCCTCAGTGGATCGACCCCTAAGTACTACAATTGTCTTTACTGTGCAATTGCAGTTTCCTAAGGTTATAAATTTAAAACTCGTATTGCATCATTAAATCCCTGCACATCATATATTGCCATAGAGATAATCTTACTTTTGGTTGTGCACCACCTTTCTTAATGACATGGGCATCGTTAGGTGCTCCTTCCTTGCCAAGTATTTATGTTACTACACCCATTATATTCTTTGTAACAAGTTCTTAGAAACAATACGGACATGTATATTAACTGAGAGCTGGAATAAATGAATACATAACTGCAATAAATAGTAATTTAACCACACATATGTGTATATATGTTAAGCGTTGTGGATTAACTTACTTCTGATGGTGATTTATCTGGTTGGAAAGATGGTGCAACATCTTTCTCGATCACAGGGGGATTGGTAGTTGTCTTCTGAAGATCAGCATCAAGAGTATCCTTCGCCATATGTGCCTGTGTGAAAGACGCATATAGGTAGAAAATATTGAACTATATTAACTAACCTACTGTGCATATAGTTTGTTATATTAGTTGACCATATGTATATATGTAGTAATGGTTGTGGAAATACTTACTCCCGATCGTGAAGTAGTTGGTTGGATAGATGATGGAAGACGTTTCTCGGACTCATGGAGATCGTCAGTTGCCTTCTCGAGAGAAGCGGAAGTAGTACCCTTGGCCCTATGTGTCTTAAAAAAAAAAACAAGGATAGTATAATAGAAAAGTAATGTATAAACACTTAGAAATAGTTAAGTAAAATTATGAAGGGTGGGATTACCATTGTCGTGGACTGATTTGAAGACTTTTTAGTCATAGCTAAAATGTCTTTAGCAACTGAGCCAACTTCAGTCTCAGCATTGACCGCAGATTGTTGAGACTTCAATACAACAATTTGCTCGGACAGGACAATTAGCGTCTCAGACATATCTCTTAAGTCATTTTTAATAGCCCCATCTTGATTTTGCAGTAAACAAGTGAATTTGGCGTCAAACTCTTTGGTTCTCCAACAATTTGTTATAGTAAACAACTGCAATATGGTAAATCATTGTAACTAATTTAAATATATGTAGCTAACATCTAAAAAAAACACAAGAGAAGATACCTGCTGAGTTGTCAATAAGTTCTTGCATGTCGGCCATAGTAAGAGGAGTGATATTCTCTGATGTTTGTCCCTTGTCATTCTCTAAGTTCTTTCTCTTTGCTTTTCTCTTTCTGCCAGGGCTCACATCTGCTGCATCACACTTGCTTTTACCCTTCTTTGCATTGGCATTATCCTTTTTCTCGAGAGGCAAAGCTGTTGCATCAAATCCGCCATACCAAGAAGTTTTGTGAATATATGATTTTGGTTGAGAAGATCTATTATATGCAAAACTTTGGCATCATCCTTCTCGTTAGGCCATTTAAAATCTTCTCCTTCGAGACCTTCCGCAGGTAAACTATATGCAACGTTTACCTGAAACAAAAACACATTCGACTGAATTAAATAGTTAACTATTTTTAACACATAGTCAACTATTACTAGACTGCAGTTGGCTATGAAGAATGGTTGATTTTTATCTAGTTAACAATTAAAATATCATAATCGGAAAAGAAAAGAAAAAATTTACCGGTTTGTCTTCATCTAGCTCTTTAGCCAATCTTATGATGATGCTTAATGATTTCTTTGTTTCTTCATCATCTGATTCATCTTCAGAAACGGTCATTTCCGTTTGTTTAGTGTTTTTCTCAGTTGCTGCATAAGAGGTTATCTTAGGGTATACAAGTCAATGCAACAAGCTGCAAACCATGAATGAAACCTCGAATTGCCATCGATTTCTGACACATATCAGCAACTTCTATGGCCTTTATACTCTTCATTGTGAATGCGAAACATTCTCTTTCCCATGGATGCTGTAGAAACACATCGAAGTCCCGAATCATCTTAACATGAGAGTCAATAATCTAACCTGAAAAAAGAACAAATAGCTACTTGCATCAACTGGTAAAATTACGACATAGTTAACTACAAAAAGGCAGAAACGCTTACCATCAGCATTTCTAGGTAACATGATAATGTCGACTAGTAATAAACACGAAAGCTGGAGTCTTTCCATTGAACCCGTTTTTGAGTAATTTCCCAAACTGAGATTTGAAGAGGATTTCCTTCTGTGTAGATTTTTGTCTCAAAACTTCATTATAGCGCAGTGGTATTTGATAAAGCAGTAGACATTGACTTTGTTCTTGGCGGGCTCACAACCAAAACGAAAAACTCTCTTAGGTAATTTAGGATTTTTCATCTTCTTAATATGTGTAAGATACAAAGAAATTGGAGAGAATTTTGTATGAAGAAATGAGAAACAGAAATCGAATGGTTTGAAGAAAGAAGAAGAACGACGGAAATTGAAATCACAGGTTTTGAAGGAAGAAGAAGAACGGCGTTGTTTCTGAAGAGGAAGAGGGCGAAATTAGGGTAAAAGGTATTATCAGTTTTTGTTTTGTTTTGTCTTTTACTTTTTTTATGTAAAAGTAAAAAAAATAAATTAAAAAACATGGGTCAATAGAATAAGGCTAATTTTAGAATTTCAAGTATACCCATTGTTAGACACTTAATTAGTAATTAGCTTATGTTAAATAATCAATTATATCTACCAAACATAATATACATGCCTATTACTCTAGAATTATTGGTGTTATAATATTATAAAGTACACTATTTCATCTAACTAAAAATATCATTT